TTTATTCCCATTTTCCTCCGGTGGCAATCCTTGCGGGGGCGACTGGGAATAAACGGCCTTAGCCAGCCTGTGTGTTGTTGTAATCCTCAAATGGTAGGTAACGAACGGTTCTTTATGCGGGTGTCCATGGGCGGTGCTGATTGCTTAACATCAGGTAATCCATGATGGATTATCCATCTGTTCGTTTGCCGACCTACCTATTACTTAAAAAGCACACAACTTCTACTACATCTATCTTTATAGTCCTTACAATAAAAAATAAAGAAGCTGAAACAGCAAAGTAAAAATTATCTGTTATTAGTCGTTCTCCGTCTCTCATCTCCATCCTTAAATCTACCCTAGACCAATATCAAATAGCAGTGATTTAAAATAAAATTAAGTACAAACGTTCTAGTTGTCCCTAAAATTTTTGAAAGTTCCCCTTGGTTTCTCTGTTTCGCTATCATCAGAACCTGGTTGCCTTATCCTGTACCTAAGCTTAGAAATATCTTCTTTCTCATAAAAAAAAACAATCATCGAAATCGTTTTATAAACGACGGAAATATTAATATCATATATTTACGCGGGTATTAACGCGGAAAATGATTATTTGAATACTTTAGTAGGCTTGACGTTTCGACCCGGTTGCACAGGTCGTGGTCACAAGCAGACTGAAGACGTGATGTCACAGCTCCCTGCATTCGGGCGATGAATCTTCATCTACCCCCTTATTTTCGTTTTCTACCATATTAGGCCGTCTACACACTATGCTGACTATATCCACAGATGGGTTAACCGACTTTGAAAGAAAGCGAGATTGTGTTTTGCGAAAGTTTGCGAATCATTGGATTCCACGTCAACGACAATTTAAAGCCGTCCTCCCGATTGAAATTATTTGGGCATTTCTTTATTTCAACCGCTTCACGCACAATTCTTGTATGGTAGTGGCGATCAGTGGAGAGAATTTGCGGTCGGTGGAATTCTGCCCAGTGATTTGAGCCAGCCTGGAGCAGATGTTCTGCTATCGCTGATTTGTTGCTCTGTCGGCTCTTGACTGCGGCGATATGTTCTTTGAGCCTCTCAGCAATGGTCCGCTTTGTTTGCCCAATGTAGGAACTACCGCAGCTGCAGTTGATCTTATAAACACCTGGGCTTTGTAGCGGCAATACATCCTTCGCCGTGCCTACCTTATCATGAAGTTTAGCCTCAGGTGTGTAGATCGTCTGTTTTTCAAAGTGTTACATCCAAGGATTAGCTAACACAGGGGTGACTGGACTTCCCATGGCTACGCCATCGATTTGAAGGTAATGTTGGCCCTGAAAAAGGAAATAAATGCCATCCAGGCAGTTTTTCAGCAAATCAATATAGTTGTGGGGCATTTCATCGTCACTAAGTACATCTTTGACAACATCCAGTCCAGACACTCCTTAATTGGCACATTGGTAAATAACGACTCAACGTCAATGCTCACCATGAGTTCATCAGGTTCCAACTTCAGGCTCTTTACAATCTGGATGAAGTCACGCCCTTTACAAAAGAAGATGTTTTTCCTACCAATGGTTGTAGTACTGACGCAACGTGATTTGCAAGATCATAAGTCGGTGAGGCAATTTGGCTTACAACAGGCCGCAATGGCACGTTGGACTTATGTATTTTAGGTAGGCCATACAGTCGAGGCGGTTGGTGTGCCTTAGGTTTCAATAGCCTTTCGTACTCATCTTCTGTAAATAGGTCCTTGTGTTCTTGAATTAGAGCTCGTATTTTCCGTGTTACTCGGGCCGTAGGGTTATATAAGACCGGCTTGTAAACCTTGTCATCACTCAGTAACTCCCGCATTTTATTGTGGTAATCAGACGTATTAATCACTATAGTGGCGTTTCCCTTGTCGGCCTTAAGCACTAAAATATCCGGATTATCCCTTATAGTTCTTAGTGCCTGACGCTCTTCTGTAGTGACGTTGCTAGCCGGAAGCTTCGACTTCCGCAATATCCTGTCTCAGGGTTTCGGCATCGCCGGGCGGTATTTTATTACGAATAATCGTCTCCTCGATACAACTAATTACTTTTTCGTACGGGATTCGCGTAGGTGTCTGTGCAAAATTCATACGTTAGGCCAATATTTTTGTGGTAGGTTCGTCGAGACTCGTATTTGATAAATTAATTACGGTAGAACTTTTTCTTCCATACCGGCGGTTGAATAAGTTCGAGAATTTTCGGTCATGAGATTGACTGCATAACTCGAATGTCCGATCAGGTTGTAGAAAAGTTACACGATCACATAGGTCAAAGTCCTCACAAGACAAAGACACACTACACTTATTCAGCAACACATACACTAGGTACACTTATTCAGAAACGTCAAGCCTACCAAGGTATTCAAATAATAATTTTCCGCGTTAATACCCGCGTAAATATATGATATTAATATGAAACGCGAAAGTTTAAAAGTTAGTAACGACGAAAATATCCGCGAACAAACAAAATAGAGCATAAATACTTACCGTACTGTATATACCTACGACCGAATTGAGAAACTTGCTCCTTTTAGAAATCGGTTAAACACTATCCTTAGCTGCTGTTGCGGGTGCCAGCGCAATAACGTACTGCGGCCCGAAGCACTAGGGGTGAGCCTGGTGTGTTTTTTTTCAGTCAGTAGGTAAGTCCCTCTCGCCTTGAGTCATTTGACGATTTTTTACTATAAAAAAAGGTAAGTAGGTAGGTACCTATGTCTCGTGAGGCCCGGCTACAGTAGGAAATTTTGACAGAACGAATTTAATACGGGCTTTAAGGATCTTTCCTTTCGAGAGACGATCTCCGGCTACCATAAGCGAGCCCAGAGCAGGAGAAGGAACGGGGGGTTTTTAATGACTAAGAGTCTGACACTCTTAGCTCACCCTGCGCGGGAGAATTCATTTGATGATTTTCCCGAAAAATAAGGATCTTTCCTTTGTACCTAAGCAATCAGACCTCTTGGTGTGATTGCGGACTAGCAAGCTTGTGATGAAAAGTTTATTTTGTATTCTACACATAAAACATCAACGTTTTGTAAAGTCACACAAAATAATCATAAGTTTTTTTTTTTTGTCAGGGGAAAATCATCCAATGACTTCTCGCGCCCAGGGTAAGGCGAGAGAGAGTGTCAGACTCTTACTGACTAAAAACCCCCCCGTTCCTTCTCCTGCTCTGGGCCGAGGTCGCGGTGCCTCATTGCGCTTACCCCGCAGCCCCGGCTAAACATCAGCCCTTTAGGGCCCCGACTGTGGTGGTCTATTGGCTCTTTGAGGCGCGCGCGGAACGCTACGCGCCGTACGCTCGGGTCCAGTTCTGGTCGGGCGGCGAGCTACCCTTACTCGCCGTCCGCAGACCCGCGCTTACGGTGGCCGGAGATCATCTCTCGATCCCCGACGTCCGGAATGTCGCCTTCTGCGGCGGCTGGGGCGCGAGGAGGATAGTTCCCTCACGCGCTCCGCCTCCTCCTTTGCGAGCGTAACTGCTTCGCAGAAGGAGGAGATAGCTTCCCAGTTCCTCTCACGCTGCACCATGGCCTCGATTAAGGCCGGGCGCGAGAGGTCGCTGCCGCCGATCACTTCCCTGAGAACACGGCGGTGCTCAGCCCAAGCAGGGCACTCCGCCACCGTACCGTGAGATCCTCACAATGACGACACTCGGGCGTTTCCTCCCGCTGGATCCGAAACAGGAACCTACCAAAGCTGCCGTGACCGGTAAGCACCTGCGTCAGGCGGAAGGTGAGGACGCCGTGGCGTCTCTCAAGCCACTCCTCAAAGAGGGGTCTTACCGCTGCTATAGTAGCGTGCCCGGCCCTCGGTTGCGACAGTCGCTGCTTCCACTCAGCCATGAGATCTCGCCGGAGCTCATTCCGCCACGCACTAATTTGGCGCGGCAGAGGATCCTCGCCCCGGCGACGCGCGTCTGCGCGCAAACTGTAGACGCGCGCGAGCGCCTTCGCTTCCAGATCCCATGGCGGTGATCCGGCAAGGAGGTTCGCCGCCTCCCCGGAGATCGTGCGATATCCGCGGATTATTCGGATAGCCATGACCCTCTGGGACGCGACCAGCGTACGAACCGGCCGCCGCTTCAAATCCGGCGCCCACACAGGGGCACCGTAGAGGGCCATGGATCGCACAATCCCCAAAATAATCATAAGTTGCGGTCCCGATTGCGACTGCATATTGCATATTATATATTTGCTGAATTCTTAAGGTCCTTTTACAGCTCTAAATACCTTATCATTAGTCCTTGGTTACCATGAAGCAAAACAAAATATCAAAACGTAGTGCAAAGATGTATAAGGAACGAGGTGGTTTTTACTCCCTTTCGCCCCACCCAGAGCAGGAGAATGGACTTGCTGACGTTCTTGTCTATAAATTAAAGCCTTTATCAAATTATCATTATTATAAGCAATTCTGGTCAAATTACTTCTCCCTGACTTACGCTTCGCTGCAGTGCAATTGCCCTTGAGCTCTGCTCCTGTACCTATTGGACTGACATAACTAAAAGATAATACAAATATTACTAAAACCCCATGTTTTAGTAAACACACTTCAACATTTCGATATAGCAAATTCCCGAAGAGTGTAACTTAAACTGAAAGTTTGAAGTATACAGGTAAAGTTAATTATTAAACTTTGTGTGTAAGCATTCGAGATCACATTGTACATTGATATCATGTGGATAAACACTTCTCCAGATATTTTAATAGGTTTCTATTAAAATATCTAAACAATACAAAGCTAAACAATAAGCAAACGCGTACCGGGGCCAGTTGCCTACTCTGCCTAAGGGTTAATATGGCCCTGCATTGAATATTCAAGACAAAAAGATTGTTCTACAGGGCCATGCAAGTCCCAGTCACTAATCTCCTAATAAGATTTGTTTCAAGAATACAATTATCTTATTTAAAGCCTTCCTAAAATATATATATTTTAGGATATTTTCTACTGCTGACCACCTGAGGTGTGCATCACCAGCAAATTAAGATTTATTTTGTATAATCAAGTCAAGCTAACAGGCACAATTTGAGGATTACCTAATGACTAAAACCTGGTTATGATATTGTGTTTTAAAATCACAGCCAGAGACATACATCCAGGTCACATTCACATTGAGAAACTCCTTTTCCACATCACATCAGCAGCCCATAAGTGCCCACTATTGAAACCTCCACCACAGAAGGTTTGAGCATAATTCATGAGAAGGGGTTGCTGTAACCTTGCTTCACAAAAATGATAATTGTTAAAGTTGAATAAAATAAGCCATATTAAGTGTAGGAACAACAGTTCATCAGACCAAAATTCAGCATAAACAATACATACTGCTTGTAATAAGTTGATAAGTAATAATTTTGGCATAAGGCTGGAAATAATACATAACTACATGTTTTAATAGACAGCTTTTTGCCTTTGTTTTTCTACACTATTAAACATTATAATATAAACTGACAGTGAAATATATATATAAAAAAATACCAGAACAAAAAATTCTGGATTAAATTGTTTTATAGCAAACAGCAAACTCAAAAACAGGAATAATAAAACCATTTCAATATATTATATTAAAAATGCAAAATTTTGAAGATTATCTCTTTGGTTATGCAGTAATATGGTATATAAAATTTAACAGCTAAAATAGGCGGAAATATTATCACAGTTATACACAACCATATTAGTTGTACCAGTATATAAAAAAACTGTATTTTCTTATTCTGTAACATTAGCCAGCAGCACTTGTAGGTCATAACTACAACAATAATATAAATTGGCTAATGTTACACTTTTCACTGCATCAAAGTTTTAGAAAAATAGTCAGTTAATGAAAATCACACTCATCACTGTTTTCCAGCATAAATACCCTGTAAATAAAGATATCTTGCATTAAATGTAGAACTACACTGATACCCATTTTTCATTAGTCCCATTTAAATACCTTTTATTCAATAAAAATGTCCAAATTTTAATCAAAAGAGTTCAAGACTATTATAACATAGTTCACCACAACACTCAAGATTAACTCATCAATAAAGTTCAAAGTTCAATCACAATTTTTTTTATTATCAATTATCAGATATCATATCAATACATTAGGGGTTGATAGTTTTATCGTCGATCACGGTAGGATCTGTGCGAATCACGATCACGACTACGGGCACGCGAGCGATCTGAAGTACGCCACAGAAACTCATCTACAGATCTTTCATAAGACCTTTTATCATACACTAGCACTGAACGTGGATATTCGGCCAGGTCGTAGTACCTTGGAGGAGGTGGTGGAGGTGGTGGTGGAATTCCATCATAAGCTGGGAGTGCCCCACTAAATCCAGGTGGTGGTACATAGGGCAAAGGTGGCAACTGATGATGCATTGATCTCATATACTCAGCTACATATGCTTCAGCTGCAGTACTACTATTACCATACCCTTCACGATTCCGGCCAAACCATATAGGTAGACGTTCTCTCATGTATGGTGAAGGAGAACGGCGTTTGTATGAACTTGAAGAAATACGACTCCTTGGTGAAATAAACATCTTTCTTCTACTTCTTGATGATGTATTTAAACGGTTTCGAAAGTTGGATCCTCTTGAGGATAAAGGGGCACGATATGTCCTGTAGTTACCACCACTCTTTAGATAAGACTTTTTGGATGCTTCCTTTGATTTTCTAAGAATTGGAGTCATTTCAATTCCTTCATCTTCTGGAAACAGTCTACATAACTCTTCTGCAACCTTAGGCTCAATTTCTTGGCCATCTCTGCCAATTTTGACCGGTTTACCTTCATTCCATGGGTTGTATAAGTGAAGAGTGCTACTGAAAGGCAATTCTTTTCTACAAATCCAATCAACTTTGAAGACACCATCTAACACTTTAGCAGACAGGCCGGGTGGTAGTACCCATGATATAGGCGCAACATCGCGACGCGATTCGCTCGCTAGCCGAGCGAAACCAGCAAATTTACCACTTTCCTTCACTGAAAATATTAAAAGCACATTTCGGGATTCTCTATAGGCTTGATTTAAATTAGCTTCATTCTGTGGTAATGTAGACCAAACTCCTTTTGCTTTTGACAATGTTATATTTTCTGCATTGTTAGACTTAATCAAAAAGAAACGGGTGTCTCTGAATAAGTAATTCAACTTTGTCATATAGTCATAAGTCTTCACCTTGCTGCTGGCGGTTGTTAAACATCGTCGTTTATTCTGTACAGGTGAATGGCTTTCTGACTTAGTTCGTTTGCGATTTGCACGTCTCTCTTTTGATTTAGTGCTAACTGAACTAATACTCGGTGAGCTAGAGTCACTTGAAGATGAACTAGTCACTTCACTTCGTGTATCAAAATCTTTACCTTCTTCTAATTGTTTTAACTCTTCACCAATTTCAGCTTCTACTTCACCAACGCCAAGGTTGACGGCGTCGGTATTGTTAGAGGCCTCCATTTTAGTGTTGATAAACAGAACTTTGGAAACAATCAATTACTTTTCCTATGCCTCGTTAATAGCATAGTATATTTTTTACTTTCATTGGACATCAATATTTGTAGTAAATTTTAATAGCGATCCAGTACCATTACAAATTACACGAACGCGAAACAATCAAATTATTCATTCACTTCATTATTCATATCATAAATAAAATTGGAGAATGAAGAATAGAGAAGAGTCTCGGCTTAGTCGGCTTGATCGTTCATAGATTAAACCATAGACAAAAAGTTATTAATAGAGGGGATCTTCGCAGAACTTACTAAGTTTTAGGTAATTTTTAACCTAAGATATTTAATTCATGCCGTGACAAATATGATTCTTCCACACTTATATAGTAATGTATTTCTGCCTTTAGTTTTATAGTAACTTATTTATATCTCTTTACCATGGTTATAGTCTAGAGAAACACCAATCATTGGCGTCGTGTGTCGTACTGTAACAGGACGGCCTTGTTTCATACATCAGACAACACACTACACCATACAACACGCCTTATAAGTTTGTCATTAATTATAGTAAATGTATGAAACCGATAAGCTTCCTATGCATGAACATGTTGTCACATCACCTCACGATAATGTATTTCTGACTTTCTCTCAATGCATATCTTAGACTATGTTTCCGCCGGAAGTTTATGCACTGTCTGTCAGTCAGCTGATTTCATGTTTGTTATGTTGGTAGAATTTCTTCGTGGTGAAAAAACCGCGTAGAAGTTTAAAGATTAGTGTTGATTTATGTAGTGTAGTTAATTTTATGGTTTAGATTAGTTGTTTTCACACCATTAAACAAACATGCATTTTGTTCAGAAATATCTGGAAAAAATTCCTATGCCATCCATAAGTACAAATGCAACTACTACCGGTAAAAAATCCTCAAACATTTATCTCTACTGTAACTATTACAGCTTTTATTCTCAAAAGGTACAGTATAGTGTAATTTATTGTGTTCATTGTTTGTTCTTTCAACTTTCAGTATTAATAATAATGAGAATAGTCAACTTTTTATAATCCAAAGCAATATTGGATGGCACAAAATAATACTTATAAACTTTTTTCAATTATCAACAATTTTATTGATATATTTCAGGTTCTCATGAGCCTTTATGAAAAAAATGTGGATTTTGAGCCGTTGATAGTGGACATAACCAAAGGAGAACAATATTCATCATGGTTTTTGGATATAAATCCCCGAGGGGAAATACCAGTTCTAAAAGTAAAAAATGAAGTTATTCCAGATTCCACAAGGATTCTAGATTATTTAGAATATTATTTAGATTCAGGTAACTATTTAAAAAATGCTAGCATCTTCATAGAAGTGTGTAACAGTCTTCTATTTAATGAAAAAATTGTAGCTAATTCCGTGGTGATCTCAGAATTTGTCATTATGTCAACAATGAGGACAGTAATAAAAAATAGTATCAAGTGTTGATCTTTAAACAAACTATTGTGCAAGTTGCTATACTCTATCGGTTTAGTTAATTAATTAAATTTTAACAATCTTATTCTTTAATCTAAAAATTTATAGTCAAAATGTTTATCATCAGGTATTTACCTTAATTACTCAATTTTTAAAATCTTTGTACATATTTTATAGGACCTCTTAAATATATAAAGACATACCAAGATTGTTTATCTTTAGTAAACCACCTAAAGTGATAATAGGCCACAGTTGCTGTTAAAGTGTTTTTTTTTAACTTTGTACCTTCTTTGATTTCAGAACTAACACCATTAATAAATGTCTCAACAGATAGTAAAGTGATAGATAGTATTAACAGATTCCGTGACATGTTGGAAGCACTACCAGCTGGCTTGATTACAGTTGGCTCATTTTTTCATCCTCATTTGAGTGGCACTCCTAAGTTACCATTCATACTGCCAGTGCGTGAAATACTGAAAAGTAAGTAGGTGTGTAAATTTCAAATTGTGTAGTATTAATAGATAAAGTTGTTACTGTTAACTTAAAACTCCACCTGAACTTTTTAGTGTGTTGTAGATTACAAGTAAATTGAAATTAGCAAATATTTTAATATAATTTTGTATTTGAGTATTTTGAAACTTCAGTTTTATATTGGATACAATGGCAACAAGTGATGGAAAGAAAAACTTGAACAATGCCTAAATGGTGTTGTTTTATCTATATATACTTAGTCGGGTCATAAGTTCTGTCACAAACTTTTGATGTAATAACTTATACGCCTTTTGACAATTATTTAAAAATTATATATGAAATGAAAGGTCATTAAATGTACAATATAATTTTATTTACATTATTCGAAATGCCCTCCCCCATTTTGAACACATGCCCTTAATCTACGCGGCCAGTCATCGATCGCTGCACGCACCACATTCATATCTATGTCTGCCGCTGCTTTAACCAGAGATGCTCGGAGAGACTCCAAATTCGGGTGAGGTTTAGCACAGACTTTTTCCTCCAAATATTGCCATATCTTGTAGTCCAGTGGGTTTAAATCTGGACTAGAAGAGGGCCAGTCTTCATGCCGGATGAAGTCAATTCCACGAGCGATCAACCAGTCTTGCGTACTTCGTGCCTTATGAGCCGGTGCAGAGTCCTGTTGGAATATCCAATGCCTGTTCCTGAACATTGTCTGAGAAAGAGGTTCCACTATGTTTGTTAGGACAGTATTTTGATAAACTTCGGCACTAGTTCTCACACCTTTTTCACAGAAAAACACCTCAGTTACGCCTGAATATGAGACTCCAAGCCAAACCATGAATGAGGAAGGGTAATGCCCACGCTGGACCCTCGCAATACGCGCGCTTGCTTCTTCACTGCTGTGGGCATACACCTTATCATTTTGTTTGTTAAAACTTTCTTCAATAGTAAAAATTTTTTCATCCGAAAAAAGAATTTCGCGGTATTTTTTTCCCGCGTACCGTCGTAGCAAAGCGCGGGATCTGTCTAGCCTAATTTTTTTTTAAACGCTCGTTCAAAAAATGTCCTGTCTTTTTACGATAAGCTCGTAGTCCCAGGTCTTCATTTAGTACTCTTTTAACAGTGGTTCTGCTTAGCCCCATCTGCAGAGCTAGGATTTTTTGTTTACGTACGGGATTTCGTTCGATTCGCGCCTTCACTGCTTTGATGACCTTATGTGTCCGAACTGTGCGAGGTCGGCCGCTTCTCTTACGATCTTCGAAGCTTGACTCTTCGGTGTATCGTTTGATAGTACGATAAACAAACCGTAACGTTATTTTCAAATTTTGAAGAATATTGAAAATGTCTTTTGGCGCGTAACCACAGCGGTGCAACGCGATAACCGCGATTCTGTCTTCTTTATTCGACCACTCCATATTTAAAAATGAATAAAAAATAATTTCTTTTTTATTTTCTACAAGCGCGAAAGTTCTATTTTTAAAATAAGTCGAAGAATTTCTGGCCAGTAATCGAAAATTAAAAATATAAGGTTTTGACAGAACTTATGACCCGACTAAGTATATACTTCCTAAATAATGCTCAAATGACTCTGAATGGAAAACATCTTGGTGTATAAAATCACATTAAAAAAAATCTTTAAGTAACAATGTAATAGTATTTTAAGTAACAGTGTTTTTGTAGATGGTGACTTGAGCAATTCAACTAACCTGAGGAAATTGGCTGAAGAGAATCCAAAAGCTAAAAGTATATTATTATACAAAGCTGAGATACAAGACCGCAAACATGAAATAATAACAAATGAAGAAGAGTACACTAAAGTACTAAAAATTATAGATCAAGTTATGAGCCAAGTTGAAGAACAATTAAAAAAGCAGCCTGAAGGTATTTTATTATAGTATATTTTTTACATAATGTTATTAACAGTCTACACACTTTTTGGTACCTAAATATACACAAAAATAAGTTTAACTTTCTGTCTTGGTCCTGTATCAATACACTGTACATAATTTATACTATGTGGAATCAATTTATTTTAGTGTTAAGTGTTTGTTCTATTCAAACTATGTGTAGCTGATTGTAAATGCACTATATTATTCATTAATTTTTTACCAATTACTGAATTCTGTTAGTAATAAATAAATCTCTTTTGTACAGGTAACTGGCTGTGCTGTGAAAACTTTAGTATTGCTGATATTAACCTTGCAATTCTCCTTCAACGTCTATGGGAACTTGGTTACGAAGACAGATATTGGGCAGCTGGTAAACGCCCTTTACTAGAAAACTATTTCCATCGTGTGAAACAACGAGAATCTTTTAAAAAAACTATACCTAGTTTACCAGTTCACCTAAAAATGATAGTTATGTCACAGCCACCACTATATCTTGGGGCTGCTGGTGCTGCTTCCGTCAGCGTCATTTTTGCAATTGCATATGTCTTAAAGAAAATTTTACGCTAAGTGATTAATTAGAATTTGAGATTGAGCATATACACCAAATCGTAATACAAAGTAAACTAGGTAGAAGTTGTTATGTTTCTTTCAGATTATCGGTAAGCTACCTTTATTTACGTGTTACATACGATATTCATATCAGCTGTTAGAAAAACATTCAAAGGTTTGTTTTTTTATATTTGTAAAGGTATGTAAGCAAAAAATGATTTTCCTTTGGTGAATTAGAAGAGGTTTTATGGATTTTTTATCTATCAGAGAAAATTTGTACCTATTTCAAGAAAACTCAAAATTAAAAATTGTACTTAAGACGATGATAGGTATGGTACTTGATAAAAAGGGTATTTTATATTGTCATGGGTTATATAAATATTGGCAACTTGAGAAATCAATTATTAAATTTTTATTATTTTCAGTACCCATCTTTGATCTGTTTATATAAGAACCCATGTTTCAAGAATGTTACATGTATTTACGTAAATAATAAGCATTAGGCATTTAATTGGATTATAATGAAACAGTATTATTTACCATTGTTAGATATTTAATAAACTTGATAACACAATTTTGCTTTTATTCATCAATTATTTTATAAGTACATGATGATGACAATACCTTAATTATGCAAGGACTTGGTGACTGAATCAGAATATAAATTAGATGTGACATAAATAAAATCAACTTGAAAAATGCAAATTGCCAGATTGTTATGAATAAGTTGTACTATTCAGTTCAGCTTATATCTATCCTATATATATATTAAATGAACGGGTCAAATGCACAAAGGCTTAAAGTTCTTAAACAAACATCTCTTAAAAAATATTTCAATAATTTAACAACCATAATAATTAAATGTATATGTAAAACAAAGACCAACCCAAAAAGTTGTGAACCCCAACCTGTGAAAAATAAAACTTCCTATACATCTACTTAGTTTCTTCTTTGCCATTTTCAGAGTCTTGGTTGGCATTAATTGGCATGCCCATAAAATGTTTACCATTTGTTGAACTCTTTTTTCTGTAAGTTGGTGTAGTGGACACAGGTTTGGTCTTATTGTTGTATTTAAATATGCCTTCTCCTGGCAGATTGGGATAGATATTTGGTATGGTATACCATACCCTGTAAGTGACAAACCAAGTGAGTATTGCTATAACACCACTGATGAACTTTTCCACCATAATGTGATAGTACAATATAGTTGAAACTAACATAACATCCCACAACAATTGCAGCAAAGCAATGCCTATTAAAAATGCCCTTACATATGGTGTGTAATTCTCATATGACACTTTTAATGCACTTAGTTCATCACTTGTAATGTTTTTTAAAGGATTTATGCTGGCAGACTTGTCATCAATACTACGAGCATACTTCTCATCTCTTATATAGTCCTTTATCCTTTCCCAACCATTGATAGCTTTTGCTTCTTCTATCATCACTAAACTTGAATATATAAGAATAAAACAATGTCCAGATATATCAAACCCATTCCAAAAATGTCCATTCTTTAAACACATAATTTTGTTGTCATATAATTTAGTGTTACAACGTCCATAATTTGTTTCTATCATATTGAATACAGTTGTCCAGGTATACCAAAACACTGTAGCAACAAGTAATCTTGACAAGTGTCCCATTCCTATTATATTCCTTTTCCCGCAGCATGTTGTGTATGACGTCAAGAATACATAAGGTAATGTCATGAACAGTGTCCAAAACCATCCAATCTTGACAAAATATTGATTAAAAACATTGTCACTTCTCGAAAAGTATGTTTTCGGAAATGTTATCACATCCGCAATGATGGATAGTAAGAAGAGAGCACCTAAGTAAATGGCTATTTTTAAATTGGTGTCAAAAAATAGAATCTTTTTACATATATGCACAATCATCAAGACGAACACTTCTAGAATTGAGGATTCTTCGCGAGTTGGTTTGGTACCTTTACTTTCTAGTTGTTCATTTTGAACTTTGTAGTTCATTCGTGCGGATTTAAAACTTCCTCGGCTTGTCATGATTCGAAGATTTTCATTTGCACGTTGTTTAGTTTCGAGTTAAACTTATTTCTAATGTAGATACTTATCGAATAAATAAATGATGAATCATATCCAAAGTAATAACTTTGTCGAATATAATTATATTCATAGAATTATATTTTTAGAAACTCTTTTCCAACTGTTCATATCAGTGAAAAATATAAAAAACAACAAAAAGATTAAACTCGTTGAAGTACTTTGTCAAAGTGAAAGTCACCAAAGTCAAAGTGACTTTAGTGACTGATCACTGAAGTGACAAAATTCAGCAGGTGGTTTTTTTTGGAGTTTATGGCCTGGATCTTGGTCTTTTAAGCCAAAATGGCAGGTGGTCTTCAATGATTAGTGCCATAGATTATAAAGTAGTCTAAGACGTAGACTATTGTTATCATTATTTTAGTTATTTCTTTTCTTTGGTGTAATATTACATCGTATTACACATGAATAATAACAAACCAAAGAGTAGAGCAAGTTTGGTAGGATTTTCAAAAGTCTCAAAGACACCAAAGCTGTCGGGTATGATCATGTCTGTACAAATATTTTAAAAATGTGTACCGATATTATAGCTTTTTTTTGTCCAAGGCACATTTCCGACAAAATTAAAAATTTCTATTGTTAAACCTCTTTACAAAAAAGACGACCTCCTTGAATTAATCAATTATAGGCCAATAACTCTATAATACCTGTTTTCTCCAAAATGTATGAAAAACTTATGCATAACCGTATTACTGTATTTTTCAATAAATTTAAGGTCATCAAGGAACAACAGAATGGTTTCCAAAAAAAATAAGTCTACTACACTTGCCGGATTTTCTTTAATAAAGACCATAACAGAAAATATTGATAATAGAATCCTAGTTACAGTATTATTTCTAGACATGTCGAAGGCGTTTGATTATGTTAACCATTCAGTCCTTTTAAACAAATGCCAACGCTATGGTATCAGAGGACCTGCCCTAGATTGGATACAAAGCTACCTCTCAGACAGAACCCAATGTGTTGAAATTAACCACCTTAACATAAGTCTTGTATCCGTACCTTGTAAATCCCCTTACCGACATAACACATCAGGAGTCCTACAAGGTAGTGTTATGGCACCTAACCTCACTGACTACCTACCCTACTCTACCTACCCTACTCTACCTACCCTACTCCACCTACCCTACTCTACATACCCTACTCTACCTACCCTTCTCTACCTACCCTACTCTACCTACCCTACTCTACCTACCCTACTCTACCTACCCTACTCTACCTACCCTACTCTACCTACCCTACTCCACCTACCCTACTCTACCTACCCTACTCTACCTACCCTACTCTACCTTCCCTACTCTACCTACCCTACTCTGCTTACCCTACTCTACCTACCCTACTCTACCTACCCTACTCTACCTACCCTACTCTACTTACCCTACTCTACCTATTCTACTCTACCTACTCTACTCTACCTACCCTACTCTACCTACCCTACTCTACCTATCCTACTCTGCCTATCCTACTCTACCTACCAACCCTACTCTACCTACCCTACTCTACCAACCCTACTCTACCTACCCTACTCTACCTAACCTACTCTACCTACCCTACTCTACCTACCCTACTCTACCTACCCTACTCTACCTAACCTACACTATCTACTCTATCCTATCCTATCCTATGTCCTTCTCCCAGTTCTTTGCTACCCCCCTACAAATTTTCAGCTAAATCGGTTCAGACGTTCTTGAGTTATAAGTGGAGTAACTAACACGACTTTCTTTTATATCCTATATATAGATACATAGGTATAGATAAGTCCAGGTTTCCTCACGATGTTTACCTTCAGCGTATGTCAGTGGTGTCTAAATAATCATAGAAAGTACATATAACTCGGAAAAAGCCACATTGGTACTTGCCGGGTTTCGAAGCCCCGTGGCCTCCGGGCCACCAAGATATTTTATTTATCTCTGACTAGCTTATAGTAATCTACAGAATACTTTTGACAAATAGGCCTTATTAATTGTGAAGTCGGCTGCGCGACGTGTATCTACTAGATAAGGAAGTTGTCCTCAGTAGAGCTTAAATTCTCTTGCACAAGCTTCTAAGCCGGAGATTCTTAAGTTCTGCACTTCTAAGATAAATAATTATAAGAGTAAACAGCACCCTGTCCCTCGGAAACTCGGAAAATACCCTATCGAAACTCGGTCATTATTTTCGATCGAACTATTTTTCAAGTCTGTGGAATTTGGGTTTTCATGACTTGCTTGCGATTCCCCTACCACGTGTCTGTTATTTGACTGGGTAATATGCCGATGATAGTCGTTTAATTGTAAGTAGGTACAGTCAAATTCCCGCGCTGGTATCAAAAATGTCGCTCGAGCTCTGAAAACTGCCTCAATAATCTCGTGTAAACATAACTATTACTTAAAGGAAATCTAAAATCATGGCTCTCTTAACTCAGAAACGTTCCCCTAAAACGTAAGCAGTCGGATTGCTTTCTCAAAAAGCTTTTATTTCATTGTTTTTCTCGCGACTAAAACCATCTATGGAGCTACGTACTTAGGTACCTAATTAAGATGTGTGCTACATCTGGACTTGTAGGAACTAGGCAGGAGAGCCTAGTTGTCCTACGAGAAGGTTCTTCTTGTAAATGATACTCGTTGAGATGCGTGTTTCGGAATGATTTATTTCGCTAATTATTGCTACTTATATCTATATTTACAAATGTACATCAAAACCATTTCGCGTGCCGTTAGGTGTGTGTTGACCAATGGCGACGCGCCGGCGAGCGCGGGCTGCGCGGGGCGAGGGCCGCCGCTTTGGTCGCGTCGCGGCGCCGCGCCGGCGCGATCTCTCGTTTGCATATAAAAGGGGTCGCGCGCCGAGAGCGCGACAACCATGTTCGGCAAGCCTATCCCCTGGGAATAGCAAGCCAAGTACCTCGGAGTCATTCTCGACCATCACCTGAATTTCAGAGAGCACATCAAGACGGTCCGTTCGCGAGCCGCCTGCGCCCTCAGTAGACTATTTTCAATGCTGAACCCACGCAGCAAACTCTCACTCAAATGTAAATTCCGTATTTATACTGCATGTATACGCATGATCTTCGCGCATGCACCACCCCGAGCGATCCATAGGATGCAAACGCTACAGAACCGTTTTCTCCGAAGGGCCGCGGGCGCACCCTGGTACCTAAGGAATGACTGACTACACGTCGACCTCAAAATACCGACTTTGAAGCAATTCATGAAACGCTTGTCAAAGCGTTACTTCGAATCCGCCGAAAAGCACCCGAACCCCCTCATAGTATCGGCCGCCCGATACAAAACATCCCAGATTTCCAATGTTCGCCGTCCTCGGCATATTCTCGAAGAACCGGACGACCCTATCACCATCCTACAAGAGAGCCCTAGGGATACCAGCACTGTTCGTAAATACAAATACAGACCGCGTTACGTATTCCGGCCTCGCCGCCGAGGCCCACCGCGACGTCCCAGTAACGTTAAAAACCGATCTTTGCTAAACGAGCCAGCCCGCGACGCTGAGCCAATAGTAATAATAAATACTCGCGTAACTAATCCGACCTAGCCTGATTTGACTTGCTGCCCCTCCGCAATGACCCCGCCGAGCTGAGGTTCGAACCCCACAGGGGGTGCCCTCAGCGATGCGGTCATTTAGCTTAAGTAGATTTTGTTGCCCTGGTTGGGGGCCTTAACTATAGAGGCCACCGCAGGGATTAGTCCGGTTAAGTAGTTAACAGCCGTAGCGTGCTGAACTACGAATGGTCCTATCAAAAAAAAAAAAAAAAGAGCGCGACATTTCGCCGCGCGCCGTCGTCGAGTGCAGATTGTGTGAAGATTGAAGACGCGGCGGGTGCAGGTGCACGCCGCCTCCGGCTCCGCTAGCGATGCTCGCTCATAACAAACCGCTTCTTTCAAAGCGACTACACTCGGCGTTACGTTTGTATTTTTATCTTTTAAACCCTACGATTTTTTCTAAATCTGTTTTTTAAACAAATATAAACAAATTCAAAACAACGTATGTAAAAATCTACAGCTCTCTATGTAAGCGCTTTATATGAAAACTAGCTAATGGCCAAACGTTCGCGTAGCGGAAACTTGAATTTCTCCGAAGTTTATGCATGCACTAGTTTTATTCATACATACACAATTACACACAAATACACACAAATTTTTGGATACATCTCTTTTGTTCTAAAGTCTATGGATTAAAAAAAGTTCCGCCAGGACAACGTTCGCCCAGCGGAATCAGTTTTTGGTGAATTTCTCCACAATGGTTGCGTGCACAAATTTTTTTTTACCATACACAATTATACAACATTATACACTAAATATCTGCATAATTAAAATCTTTAAATACAACAACATTCCGCTGCACGAACGCACGCATCGGCGGTTGCCTGGGATGACCTTGTTGCTGAATAGCAGTGTCAATGGGGGTCTTCTATCAAGGGTCGCCACACTTGTCAGTTTTTTCCATCTGCAGAGGAGGGGCTGGAGAAGACATGGTTGAAGGTAGTCATTGCAGTTTGAGTTTTTGGGCACAAAGTGTTCGGAAAATATGGAATAAACCTCAAAAGTAGAACTTGGTTTTTCGGATATTTTACAAAAAAGGTCTTAACTGATTTTGTAATTTCACTTATATGCAAGCATTTCTTTATATTTTATAATTCTGAACGTATCTTCTTTCAGATAAAAAATATTATTAAAATCGGTTTACGCAACCAAAATTACCTACCAACCCCAATTTCTATAAATTAGTAACCCACTTTCCAACGAGATGTGTTATCTATAGGTACTTATAATAAATCTGAAGAGAGGTCAATTCTGTACATCTATACTTCTATACTATAGGTATACTGATATTATAAAGAGGTAAAATTTTTAAGTTTGTATGTTTGTAAGTTTGTATGTAGGAGGTAATCTTTGGAACCGCTGATCGGATTTCCAAAATTCTTTCACTGATGTATAGCTACAATGTTCCTTAGTGCTATAGGCTATAAAATATTACGCTACGATCCGTAGGAGCCGAGCAGCGGGCGAAACTGCGCGAGAATAGCTAGTGAAATATATTTTCGAAATAACTATCAGATGGTGATAAGTGATCGATACTGATTCCAAAAAAGCAATCTGTAAAATTTTGTCTGTCTGTCTGTATGTTCTTTATAGAAACAAAAACTACTGGACAGATGTTAACGAAACTTGGTACAATTATCTATACTAATATTATAAAGAGGTAAAATTTGTAAATTTGTATGTTTGTAAGTTTGTACGTATCTTTGAACCGCTGGTCGGATTGCCAAAATTCTGCTATAGGCTGTAAAACATCACACTACGATTAAATGGGGCTGAGCAGCGGGTGAAACCGCCCGAGAGTAGCTAGTACTTCATATGAAGTACTAATAAATTTTGAGTTTTCTAAAGTGATGTCGTAAATAAGCACGTAGGTAGGTACTTATATTGCAAAAACGCTGGCTCATCCCTACGAGATAACTACTTACACCAAAATAATGTACTACAGTATTATTGTCCACCATAAAAATTATACTTGCTTGCTCTGCGTACCACTTAAAATGGTGAAATAAATATTTTTTCACAAAAATATTCCGACTTCAAAAAGTAGGTACCTACCTAAACTAAAAAGTAAAAAATAAATTTTCTTTGTAAAAATTTATATATGTTTTCATTTATTTAAATAGAAAATAATACTTATTAATAATTATTTTATAATTTTGAATTCGGTGCCAAGTAAAACAAAAATAGTGTAAAAATTACCTATAACACACAACAAGAATAGGTACCATTCGTTAGTTTAATGATTAGGAGGTACCGATCAATATATTTTTCTAATACTGTTGTTGTTTTGGTAGGTATGACTTTGATGATTCACTTGGCACCGACTTCAAGATTTTAAAATGGTTATTAACATTATTTTCTATTTAACTAAATTAAAACATCTATAAATTTGTACAAAGAAATTATTTTTTTACTTTTTAGTTTAGGTACCTACTTTTTGAAGTCGGAATATTTTTGTGAAAAAATATTTATTTTACCATTTTAAGTGGTACGCAGAGCAAGCAAGTATAATTAATTGTTTTCGAATGAGAAGACGACGGCTACTTGAGACCGAAAATCACGGTAATAGTAGTAGTCCTGAGTTAGTCAGTGTTCAGTGCTGTAAATCGTTGAGGAATTCCCTCGACTGTCAATGGTCTCCATCATCATGTGTACTGTAGACCTTCAATATACTTACATAATCCATTGCATGTGCAAAGTTTTCATCAATGTAAATGAATTAAGTCCAAGCACAACATAATTACTCCAAATAGTCAAAAAGATCCCACGACAGTCTTCCTGCTCCATCATCAGATTTACTGCATAACTTCATTTTAACTTGTGTAAGTAGGTGCGAAGTTTGCATTGATATAAATGAATTAAATCCAAACACGAGGTAGTTACTGTGAACCGTTCAGGATTACCCTGAGCTGTCCTTCGTTCTCATCATCAGACCCCTAATGACAGTCACGACCAATCTGTGTGCAAAGTGCTCACTAATACGAATCATTCAAGCCCAAACACAAGGCAACTAAGTACTCCAAATAGTGCAGGAGATCCCTCGACGGTGTTAAGGCTCCATCGCCAGATTTACTGCATCACTACATTGTTACCCGTGTAGATGCGAAGTTTTCATTGATATAAATGAATTAAATCCAAACACGAGGTGGTTACTGTTAACCGTTCAGGAGTTCCCCGAGCTGTCCTTCGTTCTCATCATCAGACCCCTAATGATAGTCACGATCAATTTTGATACAACGTGCTCACCAATACGAACCATTCAAGCCCAAACACAAGGTAACTTCTCCAAATAACCAAGGAGATCCCTCGACTGTCTTTCGACTTCATCATCAAGTCGAGTCGACCATCGGCAAGTTGTAGCGTTGTAAAACCCCTACTAAAACAACATGCAAAACAACTTTTCGCCCCTACAACTTTCGAAAGTTCCCCTCGGTTTCCCTAGGATTCTAGGATTCCATCATCAGATCCTGACCTCATGAAAATAGGACCCTCCCGGGAGTATAACCTTTCAAATAAAACAAAAATTTTAGAAATCGGTTCGTAAATTGTGGAGAAATCGGTGAACATACAAAAAAAACAATCAGCCGAACATAGTACCTCCTCCTTTTTTTGAAGTCGGTAAAAATGGTTATTTACGAAGTGATTTTAAACAATACAGCATTAATCTTTATCCAATTAAATATGCTTTTAACAGCATGTAATTTAAGTGAATATTTCCGAAGATATTACAAATTTTAAATGCAGGGTCGTAGTTGTCGGCCTGGGGTCGGGGGACGCGTGCCTATTGAGCGTTGAGTGTTTTTCACATGGCCAATAAATTATATGTCGCGCTTTCTAAAGTTACCTCTTAGCAAAACATATTTATATTGTCTACAAAAAAGCTGTGAACGTTGTGTATAAGGATATTTTGTAGTAGTTATATTTACGCATGCAATGCATCCGTGCGAAGCCGGGGTTGGTCGCTAGTATGATACAAATAATACTATTGACTAAGCAAGAACAATTGAACGGCAACAATAAAAAAATTGAAACGTACTTGATCTAGTAACATGTAATGGAATGGCAATAGACCTATTAGAAAGTTAACAAAAATTCTATATCAGTTAGTTAGTACCGTTACTGTGTAAATAGTAGCGTGCGATGTCAAGGAAATGGGCAACACCTAGTGGGTGCAGTGGCGCCCCAAATACCTCCAGAGTAAAGTTAATTTTTCAACGCCTGCTGCTGCACTCTGTCGCCATAACTTTATTATAAGTTTCTATAATAGTCGCTAAAGGCGACCCAAATTCAAATATTCAATCCTTTGATATTATTTATTTTTATTTTTAATACTATGAAAGTTACAAATAATGCATTTGAGGTCATGGTTCGTAGCGAGAGGAACTGGGAAGCCGTTTTCTCTTTCTGTAAAGAAGAAACGCTTGCAAATAAAGAGGTGGAGCTCGTGAGGGAAGTATCCTCCAACCACCCCCGCCGCCGCAGTAGGGGACACTCCAGGTGTCAGGAATCGCTTGGCTATCCTCCAGATGGCGTGCTGGGTAAACTCCCCTGTAAATAAAAAATAAAGGTGTTTGTTGAAGACAAATGCTTTGTTTCCATGCCTGTAAAAAGTTTCACAACGCTATGTGCTTAGTCGAGCGGCGCGTGAGAGTACCTCACGCTTTTCGTGAAGCCTGTTTCTAGCAACCGGTACAAGAAAGGATGATGAATATAATAATGTATGTAATGTTTGCCTAAAACGTAATGTTTTGTCTGTTGATCTTTAAACGTCTTTGGTAATTATAAATAAATAATTAGGGAGTATGTGATACGCTCGGAATACAGAACACTGTATTCTGAGGTGACACGACACGTTATGATAATATATTTCATCCACATCATCCACACTGGACGAATTTTTATCGTTATCACGGTCTGGACATAATTTTCGTCTTAGTTACTTTTGTATTTTTTTTTTACATTTACTATATTTAAACTAAACAAATACTTAAACAATATGCGCGATGATTTCACTGGTTTTGTTTGCCATAACTAGCGCTGTGTTTTTGCAATTGACAACACCAACAATAATAGCACCAAGCACGGCCGCCGCATATATCAATCAAGCTCAATTTCTACGCGTTGAGTACATATTGGATTTTCCCTCCTTTTCATTTTGCCGATTGTTATTGACTGTTATCTTACAATATTGTTTTTAATCAGACATTTATCATGCGTAAAATATCCAAAAGTCGCACAGATGACGATGTGGTATCTTCCACGAATGGATCTGTTGTAAACGAAGAACATTCAACCGACGCGGAACGCCAAGCTGACCCAGATGAAAAAGAGCCGGAATCGGAATCAACTGATAATGTCGAAATAAATGAGAATGTGTCTACAAGTACCATCAAAGAATCTTCAAAGAAGGGTAAAGCAAAGAACAAAACTAAAAAAAAGAAGTCCGAGAAAAAGGTGACTGAAGAGGAATATGAGGTTCGTGACTATTTGTACATGTTTGTAAACAATTCGTAATATCTATATTAAAGTACCTTTATCCAAAAAAACCTGTGAGCTTTCGTCATTAAAAAGTCTAGTTCTGAATAAATATTGTAATGAAAGTTTTGTCTCATACTGTTTATTCGAATATTTCAGGTCGAAAAAATTGTGGATTCCAAACGGATTAAAGGCAAACTGCACTACCTCATACGTTGGAAAGGCTATTCAGCTGACAATGATACATGGGAACCAGAAAATACTTTATCCTGCCCTGAGCTTATTAACAAGTATAATGATGAGGTAAGAACAAGACTAAAAAACAACAACTGTTAAATTGTTGTTGTAATTTAGATAAGAAATTAATAACAGTAAATGTTCAATAGCAAAATAATGTTGAATATTATACTAGCCATGATTTTGAATAGCAAGTCTTTATTTATATTAATTTACTTTGATTTCTTTCAGAAAGAGAATTCCAAAACTAAAGAAAATAAGGCTGAGAAAAAGAATAACAAAAGGAAAGCTAAGAAAGCACCAAAAACACCTGCTAAGAGAAGCAAACTTGACTGGGATGATAGCAATGCTGATGAAAATGCAGAGTATGAGGTAAGAAAACTGAAGGATTTTTTTTTGAAAATTAATGAAAAATAGGAATTTAAGTTTTGAGCTGAAGATGATTAATCTGGACTCTGTGCTTGAGTTGTTGCCAGCTTTTGGTTCAGAACTTTCTTTTTGTGCAGTAACATTTTTTTTTATTTTTTGTCTGCTGTAGCATTTGTAAATTATCTTTATTTAATGGTTTTCCATCTTTGTATTGGCAATGCAAAGATACTAACCAGTGCCATGCCATGTCATACAGATTTTTCAAATTTCAAAAATTCGTCAGTGCCATTCTTAGACAGTTTTTAAATTTCACAGCTAGAAGCGTGCGGATAATCTTTGCATCGCCAATAGCATATACTATATTCAAAAATATGAATGACTACTCTATGTATTAAAAATTTAAAAATAACAGCACTGATTTTTACAATAAAATACAAAAGGAAAGAAAGGAATAGCAGCATTAGAAATGCTTAGTGATAGAACGAGACTTTAACAAAAGACATCAACGTGCGGATCATCAGTGTGCTTTTTTACCCAACCACCATTTTATCTAGATCCCTGCGGAGTCACATAATCTAATGACATAAAAAAATATTTTCGTATTATTTTATTACTGATGAAAAGTAATGCCATCTTTTTTATAGATAGATATCTTGGAATGTTTCCTACATTACTTTGTCGCGCATGAAGGCATTTTGACGCGATAAAATTGCAATAATAAGAAAAAAAAAAATGATTTTTTATTTTGCGTGTGTATTACACACGCAAAATGTTTACTTGGACACAATTAAATGGTTACTAGTACCGGGGCCTAGACATAGGTGACAAAATACGAATAGTTTTCGAGCGTTGGGGCACTGTATGCGCCGTCAAGTGAAAGAAGAGAACCGCCGTGAACTTGGGAACGTGATTGGCGGCGGCCTCACCTCTCGTGCCCGGCCTTAGTCGAAGATGAGGAGAGGAATTGGTTACCCGTCTTATCTTTCCGTAAAGCATTGCTGCTTACAAAGATGTAGGCGGAGCGCATGAGAGAACTATCCACCTCACAACCCAGCCGCCGCAGAAGGTGACACACCGGGCGATGGAGATCGAGCGACGTTTCGAGCCACCATCTGCGGACTAGGGCCAAGGGTAGCTCGCCACCGTTGTTCTGCGTGCGACTTATTAGCCAATAGACCACTACAGATGGGGCCCAACAGCGCCGATGTTCAACCTCAATGTGAAGGGGTGGGGAGTTTTTACCCAGTTAGAGTCTGACACTCCCTTTCGCCTTGGGTCAAAGGAGTCATTCGACAGTTTTCCCCTCACAAAAATGGGATAAGGTGCAAAATGAACTTACGGATCACATTTGTTTGTGTAATTGTGAGCCATCGGGCCCCTCATGTTCTCCCGCAGCTTCTCCGAAGAAGCTATAGGTCCACTTCGGGCCTTTAGGAGTTGTAAGGTATTTGACATTTAGGCATGCGGCTGCGGCAAGCGTCATTCATATTGGTTTTCTGTGAAGTCACTCCGACACTTAGCTCAACGCTAGCTCATGAATTGAGCCGGAGTATTGATCTTCCACACTTATTTAAATAATCTTTGTGTGTAAAGTAAATTTTATAGAATTATATTTTCCTTTTTGCAGGTAGATCGTATCTTAGAAGTTCGTCACAAGAAGAATGGTCAAAGAGAATTTTTTATCCACTGGAAAGGATGGTCTAGCAAATTCGATTCTTGGGAACCAGAAGACAATTTAAATTGCCCTGAGTTAATAAAAAAGTTTATGGACAAAGTAAGTTAATAAATACAGGCAAACTATATGACAGATCAATACGAAAAGAAGAAAAATGAAATAGACCAAAAATAGAATAATCTATTGCATACCTTGCAAACCTTTTCACATACATTTACTATGCAACATAATTTATATTAGGAGTGCAAGCAAAATAATGTTGAATATTATACTAGCCATAATTTTGAATAGTAGCAAGTCTTTATTTATATGCATTTACTTTGATTTCTTTCAGAAAGGGAATTCCAAAACTAAAGAAATTCCATGTATCACATGTGATAGTGTTTCTATTTTATTAACACATTGCCCCAATCTTGGAGTTTACCTTTTGTGTGTTAAGAATCATATAACTTTTTGCCATGTGTAGTTAAGTAACTGACACTGGAAATTTGTCGTATCACAAACCTGTCACAGTTGCAAAATATTTGAAATTTTACTATGTAATTATACATTTTTTTTGTTTTTTTTGTTAAAAAAACAACCTATTCTTTATGTACAGGTCTCCAAAGCTCGGTCTGTTGATTCTCGGAACTTGAGAGTGGCTCCAGAAACTACAAACCGCTTTACATTACAAGACCCTTCATCAGGGCGCAGGTTGAGCAAACGGCGGGGACAGCGTCAAAGGTGAATTGTCATTTTATTGAATAATTATTATGAAATATGATTAAGATTTACTAAGTGTTTATATCAGAATTGCGGTATAGTTGTTATAGCTTATGTTGCCTCTAATATTAAAATCATTATATTTTAATTCGATCACAGGAAGAAAAAGGAATTTAATTGCGTACTAAATATGTTAAATTAAACAAAAAAACCAAACAATTTTATTATTACTTGTTATTTTCACTAGGTTTGCTATTATCCATTGATTTGATTGTTGTTCTTGTTTCAGGGTGCGTTATGACAATGCTGAATAAGTGACCCTCCTATGTTTAGAATGGTACAGTCTGTGTACCAAATTGATCATTTATGTATAGGTAATAAGGTTTTGCAGTGTTACTTCAAAGAAATGGCAGATATATTTTATTTTATAAAGATGTTTTATCTTTACTTTGTATTGCTTTTTCATTTATGTGCAATGTTGTTGCATAGTTAAAAATTTATGATCTAGCAAAATGCACGCAATTGACAATATTACTATATGTATAAAATTGTGTAAGTATGTGCAGCTAGCCTAAGTTGTTATTAAGAGCAAGAAACGATTTATGTATTAGGTTCCAATTTTTCTACATTATAAAATATGATGGTAAAAGAGACTCAATTTAAATGACATTTTGATTTTCTGTAACTAAAATATGGGCTAAGGGTCCGTCCATATATTACGTCACTTTTCATGATTTTTGAATGCCTCCCACATCCTTACACAGCTTGTGACATTTGTGAAACCTCCCCTCCCTATGGTGACATAATTAATGGATGACCCTCAATAAAACCTTATTTAAAATGTATCAAATGTTATTTAATACAAATCTGCAGTTAACAGTTAAAACCCATATAGGTAGTTCAGTGTATAATTTACAGTCATTGCATGTGTTTACTGTAAAATAAATAGAGAATTAAGCTAACAATTATTGACGATCATTTGAATTGTGTCTATGATTATTTTTTACTCTTACTCTTATAGCCTAAAATATAGGAACACTTACCTGAACAGGTAAATGTGTCTAGGGGTAAAGCTGGTTCACAGTTATTTGTACCCCTGCAAATTGCTTTTATTTTTTTGCATACAAAATGGTGCTGTCCAGTTCCAATAACTGGGACATCATTAAGATACATTTTCTGTATATGTTGATGACAAACTGACCACAATGAAACGATTTTTATAAGAAAAGGTAATTGAAAAACCTTTCAGTCATTTTTACGTGTCTGCAAAACAAGATTTTTTTAGCCTTACATTATTATTTTAACAGAAGTACATTATTATTTAATATTTAAGATATTGGTTGATCTTCAGTGTTAACATATAAATATTTTGTTTAGTTGATATACATATATCAGTACAATCTGCTCGTAAAATTATCTTTTATAGGTTTCCAATTTATTAGGATAACTTCTTAGTTAAAAATGTATTAAAAAGGTTTTACTGTTCAGAATATGTAAATGTGCTATCTTGTGAGTGTAACAATTTCATTTTTGATAAGTACATAATTATTTATTCTGAGGGATATGAACAGTGTACCCCACAGAAAAACAAATTATATATTTCTTGTAACACTTTAAAAAAAAATATACATGAAAAGTATATCTTTTTATTTATTGCATTCAACAAAGTAATTATTTTATAGATTAAAATAAAAACTTATCTGTCAAGAAGTCTCAATATGAAAGTACTGCCAGCATTTTGGTTTTATTCGTTATTATATACTTTTTGTCTCTGAATATCTTTTTTTTACTTAGTCAAGTAGAAAGTTAAATTATTCAACAGAATACATGAGTGAAATTTTTTATATAGAGACATTTGCAAATATGAGGAAAGGCGGCAGGTCCTAGCGTTATTTTTTAGGTAACCTCAATTCAAACAGAACCTCCTAATTTAATAAAAGTGTGCACTACAATGTGTGTGATCTGGATGAATGTATAGTTTATGGTAGGAGAATGCCCAAAATATAAAACAATGAAAATCATATATTTTGATATTATGATTAAGCATAAAGAAATGCCATAGCATGCGCTGCACCTTCTCAGTTTCCAATTAACAATAAAAAAACAATTATCAAGGGCTGGGTCTGGACTAAATTAACATTCTCATTAATAAGTCGCAAGATGTTCATTAATAGCTTTTCAACTTTATTGCCAAAGCATAAGGATAATCAAAGAATATCACGGCTTAGGGTCAGTTCACACCAAGACGCGGAGCGACGCGGCGCTGCGTGAACACTGAAAGATTGATTCAAAAAACAACTTAATATGCACGAAACAAGGTATAAATTGCATGCACACCGCATGCAATTTATACATTGTCGTGTGCAGCGGCAGAGCGGTGGACGTCTTAGTGCGTCGCTTCGCGCCTCTGTCTGAGTTGACCCTTAGCAACCAATTTATAAAAACCAGCTTATTTTGGGACTGGCGGTTCAAACCAAGACAAAAAAGTACCTAGGTAGCTAAACACTTACGGTAAAAGCACAAGTAGGTAGTAGTAGAAGTTTCTTTTCATATTTATTAAATTTTAAAATTTCATCATATCACCCTTTCTCTGATTTTTCTTAAAGATCCTTCATGAGACTAGAGACGTAATGATAATACTTGAATTTTATAAATATAATAGTGTAGAAGTCGTTTGTCCTGTATGCGTGTCCGTAATTAAATTGTAGCAATTCTGTAAACGTAAGTTTTTGGCATTAGTTATGCACAGCCAATGTTTCGGTCCACTACTGATGCTTTTGCCGTAATCTTTATTAAATACTTTTCCCATATTAAATATTCGTCTCTAGCATTTTGAAGTTTGTAAGCTGAATATGATTGTTCCAAAGATAAATGTATGTAGCAATATGGCCGTTGCATTAATTTCATTAACCAATTTTTTTTGTAAATCTATGGGCAAACTTCTACTTTAGGTATTTTATGTATGTTTTTTAAACTTAAGTGGTTTCATGTGTGCATTGTATGTCTAAATTGTTACATTGAGGTAGATAAATACAATTAAAGAGTATATGAATATGCAAAGGCTTTCTTTTATAAGTACACATTCATCATGCCATTCATAGACCACCACAGACGGGGCCCTATAGGGCTAATGTTCAGCCGGGGTCACGGGGTAAGCGCAATGAGGCACCGCGACCTCGGCCCAGAGCAGAAGGAACGAGGTGTTTTTATATGTGACTCAGGTTGGCTGGACAAATCTTCAAAATAGCTTGCATTTAACTAGGTCTAAAGGTCACTTTATGTGACGGCTAAACACCCTTACCTATTTCAGAATTTGTGACGCTACAGAATCATAGATATCGATCGAAAACGTGTCCAGCCATCTTGAAAAACCACTTTTCGCTGGTCTCTCAATCTCTGTAACGGAAGTGATTTTGACGGCTTTTTGCATGTCAACGGGCACATAAAATTTTTCCGAGCTAAAAGCTTTGTGATAAGTACATTGGTTTAAAAGAAAAATGCAAAAATCTGTGTCCAGCCATCTTGAATTTACGTATAAAAGTTATGGCTGGCACTTCCGAATCTCAATAACGGGGGCGTTTTCAAATATGGTTCCTTTACTAATATTTGGTGACGCTGTCACCGGAAAATAACAAGATCCGTAAGTTTATCATTTTCTAGGAAGTTTATAAACTTTCGTAAGATTCTAAACGGGAGATAAATTGTAATATTTTACGTCCACATTTTCGTAAATTTATCAATTTCCGACGTCATACGGTAAATTTATAAACTAACGAATATCTATTCGTAAGATTTTACATGGTTCGACCAATCACAGAAACTCTTTTAAATATACGTCCTTTTAAAATACGTAAAATAACACACTGCTTTCTGGTTGGTCAATGTCCATAGACTTTGGAAATGTTCCGTGGCCAGCAATGGCGGCCGCGAGGAAGGAGAAGTGACACGTGCCAGCCAAGCAATCAGATCGCGCGTAGCGTTTGGTTACTTATTATTTTAAGAGTGAGTTCAGTAAGTTTATCAATTTACTAAAATGTGGACGTAAAATATTACAATTAATCTCCCGTTTAGAATCTTACGAAAGTTTATAAACTTCCTAGTAAAATGATAATCTTACGGATCTTGTTATTTTCCGGTGACAACGCAATTTGTGACAGTAATAACGTTTGATTTATGACGTCACATGTAAGGGTTTACGAGAAACCAATAAAAAACTTAATGTCTAGCCAACCTGAGTTCAAGATGGCTGGACACATGTATCTCCACAAAGTCAAAGTCAAAAAGTCAAAATTATTTATTTCAAGTAGACCCATACAGGCACTTTTGAACGTCAACACAACTTTAAAGATACAAAGTGTCAGTCTGTCGGTCAGTCCTTTTAGTGAAGCTATTCGCTCGTTCCAAAGTGTAGATTCCGATGGAGAAGAACGAGCAAGAAACTCCATGGTTACTCTTTTAAAATCAGTGTCACATAAACATTCTTTGATACATTATTTAGTTAGTTTGAATATGTGAGAACAGTGTAACGCGTGTATACAGAGAAACATAAAAAGAAAATAACCTTAAGGACAATAGACAGTCCGGAGCTGACCAGTCCCAATTGACGGCGCCCGTTCACGAGCATGACACGTACACCAGCATCGCCCAACTCAACCATAATATAGGGAATCGAGCGATCCAGTGACCGTGCCACCGCCAATGTGACCTTTGAGTGAGCATGACAACTCCAAGCTGACATATGGACCGACATTCTGCTAGTCTAACTAATTTTAATAGGTTACAGGGCACTCACATTTACAAATTTATCAAGTTTAACAATAAAAATAGCATGGTTACAAATTTACAAAATCTAAGAACTTCCGTTCAAGCAAAGATCCACTGGAACATTATTTATATTCGTGTAGGTATATAATCCTGTGGAGCAGGACCAGCCCGTCTCCAAGCATCCTTATCCTCAATATAATCACTCAGTTTGTAATATGCTTTTTTACACAAAGTTTTCTTTATACATAATTTAAAATTTCTTTCATTTAATTGTTGTATTTCGCCTGGGATTTTGTTATAACACTTAACGCTGAATCCCATGAACGACTTGTGTACCTTTGCCAATCTAAATAATGGCTGACACAATCTATCTCTATGTCTAGTTTGGTAATTATGTCTGTCTGATACCTTATCAAATAATATTAAGTGTTTCCTAACATACATTATATTTTCATAAATAAACTGACCGGGCACAGTCATAATATTGATCTCTTTAAATTTATCTCTAAGAGATTCGCGAAGCCTTAGGTTGTAAATTGCTCTGATTGCACGCTTTTGCAAGACAAATATAGACTCAATGTCAGCAGCCTGTCCCCACAACAAGATGCCATACGACATAATGCTATGAAAGTAGCTGAAGTACACCAGTCTTGCAGTGTCCACATCTGTTAGCTGTCGGATCTTCCAGACAGCAAATGCTGCAGAACTTAACCGTCCTGCCAGAGATGTGATATGGGGCCCCCATTGTAGTTTTTCATCTATGGTTATACCCAGAAAAGTAGTCTGTTTTACAAATTCCAATTTCTTGCCGTTTAATAATATGTCACATTCGTTACTTTTTACATTTGGTAAACTGAATCGTATACACTTTGTCTTTTTGTCGGTTAGAACTAAATTATTAACTGTAAACCAGTTATGAACCTTCGTAATAGCATTATTTACTTCGTCATAATTATTTGTCCGTCTATTTATTTTAAAAATCAACGATGTGTCATCAGCAAATAATACCATTCCCGGTTCTCGCAGAAATAAATGAGGTAAGTCATTTATGTAGACCAAAAATAGGAAAGGACCTAATATCGAGCCCTGTGGTACGCCCATAGATATGCTAGCACCCTGAGAATTAACTTTGTTTACCTGTACTTTAAGCTGCCTATCCTGGAGGTATGATTTTAATAAATTGAGTGAAGCCCCTCGAATACCATAGTGTTCCAAATTTAGCAACAGTGTCTCGTGTTCGACGCAATCAAAAGCCTTGGA